TCTGCAGGCACAGAGCCCCTCAGCTCCCTGTGGCCGCGGTTCGCCGTTCCCAGCCAATGGGAGCTGTGGGAAGTGGCGCACATACCTGCAGACGCTCCAGGTAAACAAAACAACAATGTATTAGATATTCTATTCAATGATTCCATAGAGTTTAAAATCATCAGATTTTGGTGTAGACCTGTTTATAAGCCGACCCCCACTCTTTGATACGTCACTTTTTTACCAAAAATATTCGGCTTATGAACAAGTATATACCGTAAATTCAAATTGTCATCGCTTGGGAGTGTTATAAAAAGGCAAAAACAAGCTGAGCAAGCATCTTCACTCTATGTGGGTCTTAACAAAAATTTCTTGAAGAATTTATGGCTGTTGCGTAACTCAGCCACCCATCTCCTGAGCTGGATGAGCAGAAGGCATATGATACTGTCTCTGCACAAATTGCACTGGTTCTCTACTTACTACTAGATCCAAGTCAAGTTTCAGGTACTCATCTACTAAGCCCCCAATGGAATAGAACCCAGATATCTCAAAGATTGCCTCTCTAATACTGATGATTGTTTAGTGGACTCTGACTAACAGAAACCAGGTTTGAACTCAAGGGAGTTTGCAGATGAGCCTTCTCAACAGCTGGCCTAAAGCCAAGGAGAACTCTCCCAAAAGATATCAATGAGTTCTATACCACTGACATCTTCAAAAAATGCTGTGCTATTCTATTTTATGCACTTGTTGTGCATAAAAAATAATGTGCTTCACAGAAAAAACAAGATAAAGTCCCAGCTCTTCAAAACATTCACTAACCAACTGTAGAAGAAAATGTGGTAGCACACTCCAAAACAGAAGCCAATGCTTAACCAAAGAGCAGAATGCAAAATTGCCTGTCACTTCTAACCTAATCATACTGATTTTCTGTAACTCATGTACAGCACCTTGCTATCATGACAACAAGCTCTTTGGAAATGCTTATAGATCTAATACATTTTTGTACAGAATTTATAATATAGATGGGAATGTGAGACTCCTTTAATTCATACTATAGCTATTTGTAAATCAGGCAAAAACACTGGTTCAGACCATACCTTGCTTGCATATCTGGAATTCCCAGGGCAACCAACAGGACTTCCAGCTGAAGTTAACCAGAGTTTTGAATACACAAAAAATACAGGAACAGGACCATAAGTTATATTTTCAGTCATGGCAGCTATTGATAACTGTTCTAGAAATATTAGTATGAATACAGAAGACAATACTAGCTGGAAGAACAGGTATTAGATTATTATTTATGTAAGTACTTTGGGGAAGGAGCTGTCTTTTTGTTCTGTTTGTACAGTTCTAGCACCATGGGGGACAGGTCCATTACTGGGACTCCTAGGTGCTACCACAATTCACACACACACACACACACACACACACACAAAATGAGCATGTAGGCCGCCTTTCCCTCCAACCCTAGAAACCCTGATGGGGAAAACCCCTTTTGGTGATTATACAGCACACTCGCTGTACCTTTACCAAGTATCTTTACTACTATTATTATTATTTCTTGCCTTAAGTTCCAGGTACAATGCAGCATGGTTACAGGGACCCTGTCTTGCTCCCTGGCTCAGTCTTTTATACAGCTTGGGGTTTTTTTCTGTAACCTATCCAGCCAGTGAGCTAATTAGCTCATTATACTCCCTACAGGTGCAAGTGATCCCCTCTAAGGGTACATCTACACAGGGATAAAAGACCTGTGGCCCTAGCTGGGCTAGGTCAGCTGACTCAGACTCATGGGTCTTGGGCTGAATGGCTAAAAATTACAGTGTAGCTGTTTGGGCTCAGGCAGGATCCCGAGCTCTAGGACCCTCCATCTTTACAGAGTCCCAGAACTCAGGGTCCTGCCTGAACCCAAATGTCTACACAGCAATTTTTCAACCCTGAGTTTTTCAACCCATGAGCTGACCTGGGCTAATCAGTTTTGTTATGTTTTTATCCCTATGTAGATCCACTCTGACCGTCCAAACTCAACCACGCTACTTAATGCCTTCCTACTCTAACTACACCCAGTGTCCTGTGTGTTCTAAGTGACCAAGGTGCTGGTCCCAAAAGGGGCTCTATTTATAACTGCTCACAGCACCCTGTCACAGTCCAAAATTAAAGAAGAAATTGCAAAAGCCCCTATAGGAAAAACATTCTGAGATATCTTGTTACAGCCTATTTTATTCTGAGAAAATTTACATTTCATCAGTCAAATGTATAAGTTTCAAGAAGTATCTAAAGTCTTGAGAATAGAGAAATTGTTGCTGATGTATATTCTAGTAGCCCTTCCGCTTGCTCAGGCATACATGGAGGATTGAGAGGAATGGGGTTGCTCTTGCTTCTAAAAAGGGTGTAGTATTTTTTTTTCAAATGTGATTGTCTGGTTGGAGATTGATTTGTTATATAGATCCAGGCTGGCTTAGACCGGCATTGTCATTATAGTTGTTTTGCACAGGATATGCATTTTACATTCTATCCCAGTGCTTAAATCTTGAGAGGCAGACACTTTCAGTCAAATTAAATAAATGAGTGTTTATAAAAGATATGAGTTTAATTAAAATGGGCAAGATTCACCCTGATGTAGATAGAGCGCAATAATAGTTGTACCAGAATAACTCCCTCTGTGGACACTCTTATTCTGGAATAGAAGTGCCTTCTTCAGATATAGCTTAATCCACTTTCAAAGTCCACTTTCAGTCACCAAATTCTTATTCTAAAATAGGAGTGTCCACATGAGAAATTATTCCAGAGTAATTATTCTGAAATAGCTATAGCAGTAAATTTCCAAGTGTAAACAAGCCCTAAGAATAATTTCTTTAACATTATTTTGCAGTTTCCTCAAAGCAAATAAAACAAGAGTCAATAATCCACTACCATACCAAACAAGTGAATAACATTTTATTAATTAAACACATTGCCTTATAAACCATGCAGCATATAGGTTTATCATTGAGTGGAATAGTGTAAACATTATATCAAAGAAGTTCTGTTTTAAGGACTCCCTCTCTCTCTCTCTCTCTCTCTTTGGGTGGGTGTATGTGTGTGTTTGCATGCACCAGGCTGGGGAGGGGCATAGCCTGGGGTAGCCACTCCTGTGCTATTGATAATACATTCATGCTCCATACACCCTTCTAACAGAGACTAATCCTACATGCAGACTCTCACACTTTTCTAGTAGACTACTCCACCTCACACAGTGCACGGTAAGTTTAACCAAAGAAGGAAAACAGGATCTGATTTTGTGAGGAATCGTTTTGTTTTGAGATGGGTTTGTTAGTGAATTCTGGCCACATATTATCTTTGATGCTAGAATTAAAAAGCGATTTGTTCTCCAATCATGTTGCCAGTGGTCTTGTATCCATATTTACAAACATCTTTCTGTTTGTTAAGACTTTGACACTTAACTAATTTAGAGAATTTATTTTGAACTGGGGAATACAGCAAAGAGACGTTCAGAATGCAGTGAAGAGGTTGTTAACTTGCTTTAGCCATGTAAGGAAAAAGAGAGATCATAAAACTGGAAAACAATATTGTAGAGAAAAATCTTTGTCTACCATTGATAGTGTTCTAAGAACCAATCTGCATAGCATAATATGTCAAAGCAAAAACAAAGCAGAGTTTGGTTATTGCAAATGATGGCCTTATCTATCTTCAGTATATCGATTTCAAGTTTGTGTAATAAAACCACAAGTGAATACCTCATGAACAGAAACTGTTTATAGTAAAACCATCCATCTGTGGAGAGTGCAGAGATGTGGTGCCTTCTGTAATTAACACTGCCGATTTCTGAATGACCCTTTCTGACAAAGACTAAGAGCAGCACATCCCTTGGTCTTATATTTGATTAGGATTTAGGGAGCACTAATGAATTAATGTTTGCAGAGAGATTTGAAGTAAACAGCTATATTCATGACAAGTATTAATGTCTATTATTACTGAAGGCGGTGTCTCAGCAACCTTTCAGATACGCTTAATAAAGGCCTTATAAATGCTTCATAAATAATAACAATGACCAAATAGTTATGAATGACTGATCTAGTGGGGCATGCCCAATGCTGATGCGCGTGTGCTTGATGAGACATGCATATTAATAATAATTAGCCATGCCTGTGGCTGTGTCGCTGTGCTGCATGCCCCCTGCTAAGTGTGCGCCCTGTCTGTCTCTCTAGGGCTCGGGGGATGCCGAGGGCCCCTCGCTCCTTCGCCAGGACTCTCCATCCCTGCTGCACTTGCATGACAAGAGGCAGCCGCAGCAGCTCCACTGACCTAATGAGATGAGGGTCTCCCGAGCCCTTCCACTGAGCCTCCTGCTCCTGGGCTGCCTGGGGGGCGCCGCCAGCGGGCAGGCCCGAGGGGCCGGTGAGAAAGCGGAGCGCCCCGCGCCCTGGGCGCAAGCCGGCCAGTTCTCTACCCGGGAGCAGCATGTGTGCAGCTGGCAGCTGGTCCGAGGGGAGGAGGCCACCGAGCTGCAGCTGAGTTGCCAGGCGCCTGGAGAGGGCGGCAGCGAGGGGCTCCGGTGCGTGTACCGGGGCCAGCCGGAGCGCTGCGCCGCCTACAGCGGCAAGAGCCGCCAGTACTGGAAGCAGATCCTGGGCAAGCTGCGCCGAAAGCGCCACCCCTGCCAGGACAGCAGCCCGCTCAAAGCCCGGCTCTGCAGCAGCAAGAAGGGGCCGCCCGAGGCGCAGCTGCGCCTGGCTCCCCCCAGCCCCAGCCCTGCAGCGCCTGGGGCCGCCGGGGGCCCCGCCAGAGGCAAAGCCAAGGGCCGGGGCAGTGTCCAGGGGGCGCCTACGCTGCAGCAGCCCGGGGTCCCCGGCGCCAAGGCGATGAGCAGCGGGGCACGCTCTAGTGCCCTGGAGAAGCGGGGCAAGGCGGGCAAGAGGAAAGGGGGTCCCGGCTCCCCGCTGCCCCCCGAGCAGCGGCCGCCCACGGCTGGGGGGAACCCGGAGCCGCCCACGGAGCTGAGCGAGGACCTGGCCGAGACCTACTGTGCGGAGCAGTGGCACTCGCTCTGCAGCTTCTTCGTGAACTTCTGGAACGGCTGAGGCGGTGGGGGGCGGGGAGAGAGGGAGACGGGCGGGGTGGGGGGAAGGGTCGGGCCCAGTCGGGTGGGTGGGGCGGAGCTGGGGGTAGGAGCCTGCAGCTGTGGGACACCCGGGTGGGGGGAGGGGTATAACTTACTCATTGGTGCTAACCCCGGGGCAGGGCGGGAGCTGGGGCCAGGCCTTTGCACGGGGGCGTTATTGGCTAACATGACTGACCAGTCCCTCCTTCTACACTAAACAAGCACCATGCCCTGTGTAGTCTGCGCTGCTATTTCAGAGATATCTGTTCTGGGGGTGACAGGCGCCCCTCAGCCTACGCTCTGGTAGTTAAACCCCTAGATTTTCTGTACTGTGACTTGCGTTCACTCGCTGGGAAAGGGCTTCCCCTTGTTCACCAGGAGCAAACATGTGCCAGTGAGTTGTATTGCAGATGATGATGGGTGCAACATTAATAAAGATGCAACTCTTTTACAGCAGTGTGTGTGTGATCTCTGACTTGCCCCAGCCTGCTTGTGGGTGTGATGCCACAACTGAGCCCCGCAGGACCAACTGAGGAGTTGAGGAAGCAGTACCTTACATTAACTGACTGTTAACATGATTCCCTGAAGGCGGATGAGGGCCTCGAGATCCTGAAAGACTTTCCGAGGTGGCAAGACGCCTACACAGCACTGGGGCAACAGTGAAATTATACCTCTTTGAGTATATTGTGCAAACCTTTCATCCTACTGAAGCTAGCCATTCATACAAGACTTAGTTTATTTTCTAGTCTATTGTGAAAAGCTCCAGAGAAACAGTCAATATTCATGTGCCTATAGAGGCTGTCACCATAAGCTATTGCTTTCTCTGTTCCTTGTGTCCTGCATTGTGGCATGCTGAGAAACACTTACTGAAGGGAACCTACTTTCTCCAGGTGCCCTGGGAATATGCTCTCTTTTCCTCCACCTATGCAAATGAAACATATTTTAATTAATATGCATTCAAATACACTCCTCTGAGTCACACACTTTAGGTACTTTTTCCTTAGCTTATTTAACTCTCTTTGGCTGGTATTCTTTCAAAGGTGACACTCTCCCTCTTCCCCCCCCCCCCACTCCCTTCACGCTCACCTTTTCATAGCACTTCTGCAGCACTATTTGCATCAGTTTTCAGAAAATAAATTGAAACAGTGGTCTCCGTTGACCCAGCTCGCACCTGTTTTTCCTCAGGAAAGCGTCAGTTATTACACTTCACTTACTTATAGCCTCACCTCACTTTATTTAGTCTCATATTCATGTTATTTCCTACTGTGTGTGATTGTGTGGCTGCCATGGGGCCCAGTCATGGAAACCCTCAACCATGTAACTAGCCTTTCCTCAGTACCTTAATGGGACTGCTGGCAAGAAAAAAGAAAAAAAGAGAGAGGGGTTGTCGAATCAGGTCCATATACTGGTTACGCTGATTTTTGTAAATATAAATCTAGGGCCCAAGCCTGCAGCTGCTTATGCACATGAATGGTCCCATTGAATTGAACTCGGTGGGACTTGCATGTGTAAAGTTACTCATGTACATAAGTGTTTACAGATGTGGTTTTAATTATTATCTGCCTCTCTTCTCATTTCAAAAGGTGTGGCAATTTTATTTTTTTTAATCAAAGACCTGTACTTATAATGGCAAAGTGTGATGTTCTGGCTTGAATAGGATCATCAAAAAGAAGAGCAATGTAAACAAAATATTGATCTTATTATAGAAGCCATCAAAGGAAAATCAGAATTGCTACGTACTGAATGGAGAAGTTCAATGAAAGTCAACAGGAATTTCACATACAATTGCTGGAAGAATATGGCTCTCGGTTTTAAAAGCTATGACATTATTATGCTGCTGGGGAAAAAAATCCAACCTTTTTCATATAGTGTACTATGTAAATTAAGAGACAAAAACCAGCTGGCTGAGGTTCTTATTTATATATTTTAACTGATGGATGTTTTCAGCACAGATATGAAGACTGAAAGACAGCTGATGTCTTCCCCAAATAACTAGTTTCTACATTCCTAAAGATGAAAATCAAATTGGAAATGACCCACCTTAAAATAGACCCTGACAGTTTCAAAAATTGTATAAAAAAATACTAAAAAATACACTAAACAAAAAGCCCACAAAGGGTTTGCTCCTTTCTTGCCTAAACCTCTTTGTGATGTCAGTAGGAACAAGAATGAAGAGTGGGGTCCTATTTTGGGGGTAGGGGAAGATGTATGGGCCCAATCGTGTTTCGATTAAGTCAGTGGCAAGATTGTGATTGACTGCAAACAGTTGCTGTTGTTTCTAACAGATGAGAAAAGGATTCCTAAAAGTGAACTCCGTTTGGAGATTTGAATCTCAGTTTTTAAATCAATGGGAGTTTTGAAGTTAACACAAAGGAACATTTAAATGGAGAGGGAAATGCTTTTCTCACATCGATAATGCGTTATCCAGTCTTTACAACTGGAACTATTTAAGTAGTTTATTAATTTTATTGGCTGGGCTTGATATTTTAAAGATAAACAAGTCAGTCATTTAGGTCCTGGTCCTCCAATCACATTGACGTGGGCAAATTCACTAGCCTCACTGATGTCCTTGTGGCTCCATATGGGGGTCCACTCAGCATGAAGCAGTTTCAGGATCATAGTCCTAAACCCTGCTTTGACTCGCTCTCTGCACTTATAAGCAGTTCAGTACATGCCCAATGCCACAAGCTTCTTTGAGACGTCTTTATACACTTGATCATTTCTGGCACTCTTTCTGATTTGCTCACCTCACACCAGAGATTTACCAGAGTTCAGCTGTGTTCCTCTGGCCTGGTAGCAGCATGGTTGGTGTGGGGCTCCTGTCTACTATGGGCCATAGCTAACACGAGAGACTACTAGATGTATTTCCAGGTATGCAGTCTGCATGGAAAGGAGAGATAAACACCAAGCAGCTGCATTTGAACCAACCGGGGTTACTTCTGTTTCCTGGGATTCAAGTTGGAAGTTCTGGGGTCAAAGGACTGAAACACAGGGTCAGGCAATTTTGGGATTACATTGGTGGAATCTCCACACCTGAGTCTGGGTACTCAGGCTTGAGCTGCATCCACACTGCAAAATGACAGGGTTTGGACCCAAATCTCATTAAGACTCAGACGCCACCTCCCTGAGGTGGGTCCTAGGACTCAGGTCTGAGGGTTTGCGGAGCCAGGTCAGAAAGGAGAGTACATAGATAACAGGGAAGTTTGGTCTCAAACCTGAGTCTGCAGTCAGGTTTACAATGCAGTATAGACAAACACATAGGGAAAAAGACAAGAGTGTCTTTGTGGACAGCGTAATGAAAGCTTCTGCTCATTGTGCAGCAGTGGTCATTAAGAATACAGAATGGGATAGAAATTATTGAAAATATTATGCTATTACATAAATGAATAATACTGTATGCTCTTATCTGGAATACTGTATTCAATGTGGAGCGTGTTATCTGAAAAGAGACATAGCACAAATAGAAAGGATTCCAAGATGGGATACAACCATAGTTAGATGCATAGAGAGAGACAGTTATGAAGTCAAATTGTAAAAATGGAATTGGTCAGTTTAGAGGAGAAACTATTAAGAGGCACATGATAGAATGATATAAAATAATGAATAGAACAGAGAAGGTAAAGTTATGAGAGGGTAAAAAGGAGCACCTAATACAAGAATAAGGGGATGGCAGATGAAACTGAAAAGCAAACAGTTTAAAACTGATGAAAGGAAATACTTGAAATAAATAGCATGTGGAACTCATTGCCACAAAATATTTAAGGCCAAGAGTTTAGCAAGATTAAAAAAGAATTGGGCGTTATTTGGATAATGAGAACATTCAGTTACTGTATATAGGGTAATTTATTGTGTCTTGATATAAATCCTCATACTTTCAGGCCATAATCAATGAGAAGCGGACAGGGCACAGTAAGAAACTTTCCTTAATGGGCAGGTTAATCCATAATTGTCCCCTATGTAGTTTCTTGAACTTTCCTCCAAAGCATCTGATACTGGCTACTGTCAGTCAGCATACTGGACTATATGGACCATTGGTTTGATCTGGTATGGAGATTCTTATGTTGACAGCAGTGGGGAAAAAATCCTTGTGTGTTCTTGAAACAGTACCCCAGAGTGCAGCAATTAGACCATCCCACAATATAGAAGATAAATTAGAATACAACATTAAATATAGCTGAGCAACACAACAGTAAACTATTTGTCATGCAATGCTATAAGTTGTAAACATCTCTAATGTTTTCACTGGTGATCTAAACTAGAATTTGAATACTGGATTTCCAGCTGCTAAGCCTAGTGAAATATAGTTGCTCTGAAGCCTCCATTAAAATCAGGATGGGGGGAGGGAGAAATATGAAGGGAGCTAGTACGTGGAATATTCATTCCTTAAGGGGTCTCCACAGGAGCTAACTGTGGATCCAGATAAAAGATGGTTCAACAGAATGGCTGAATCTCCACTGAATAGGTTTCAAAGATGAAACATTTTGGCTCCTTAATATTCTGTTGAATACAGTCCTCAATTTGTGCACTTCCTTCCCAAGTCAGACCACACAGAAATTAAAGAATTTACTTACCGAAAACATGTACCAAAATGTGTAGATTTCTTCTTTTTACATGTCTACTTAAATAACATTTTCTAACAGGCCTATATTTTTCTCTGCCAAACAGACAGTTCAGTTTTTGCAGGCCAAAAAAGCAGGCAGAGGCAGCTTTAAAGAGGAGGTATTTTTGGTTCCAAGGAGTGATTTACATCTGCACACAATGAACTTTGAAAATTTTCCAGAAATGAAAGTGTGTAAATCACTCTAGATAAGGACATGAGGAGGGATTGCAGGATTTCCTTAACATTCCTTTTGTCACAGGATAAAAAAAAGACTTGAAATAGGAACAGAACAGATTCTAAAAGATTCAAATGCTTCTGAAAAGTAGAAGTTACTTACCTTGAATAGCAACGGTTCTTTGAGATGTGTCCCCCTGTGGCTGCTCCATGTCAGTGTGTG